ACACACACACACACACACACACACACACACACACACACACACACACACGTCAGCCACAGAGAGATTTTGGTGCCTCGTTCTTTCCTTAGAGGTCTTTGCCCTGAAACCTAGGCCCTGCCTCCCTGCACAAATGGCTGAGCCTCTTCTCACCTTATTTCATCCTTGTACCAACTGAATGTTTTCCTGGATGGTTTGGGCTGCAGTAGCAGAAATGCCTCTTCCTTTGATGTGAAAAACCAACCCTGGGTGTGGCACCCCCTCCCCCACTTTCTCCTTCCCTCTGCTCTCAGCCTGGCTTCTTTTGTTACCCCAGACTTGGATTCTGGTTCTGAGGTTGACCCTTGTTACTTGACCCCTAGAACTTGCCCCTTTCTAGAAGGGCTGGGCTGGGCTGAGAAGCCATGGGTATTAGACACTTTTTCCTTGGTCTGAGCTGTGTAAATAATTGCTTCCTCAGGCCCTGGGCCCAGATTCTGAAGAGCACATACTACACAGGTGATAAATTGAAAGCTACATTGGCCTATAGCAAGGCCAACATGGTCTCACCTTCTATTCTGCCCCCCATAATTGGAATATAATATGTGTCACTTATTCTGTACTTCATGGGGAATATCTGTGAAGTCAGTTGGGTCTATCCAGCACTGCTAGATTTTAACCAGTGTTCTTTTGAGAAGTTAAATCGTGTCCTCTTCTCCTGGTCCTGTTTGCAAAGTCCTAAATCAAGGCATGTTCCACCTAAGGTTACTCTAACAAATGTCACTTTTTGGGCACGTCATAACTAAACTCTACGAGGATTTTTTTGGGCCAGTTTTTAGCATGTAGCACTGTAGTGATGGAGGTAACTGCCCCTTGTTAACGTGGCCTGACTTGGCATTTTTTCAGTTAGCCAAATAATGACATTTATGGGGATTGTGTATTGGGCAGGACATTTCAATGTCAGATGATTTCAGTAACTCATTAACTATTGGTTCATCATTATGTAGAGTAACATATTTATAAAAATCTCGTATTCAATCTTTTTTGAATGTGCAGTTGGCTGAGCTCCGCCAGAGACTGGATCATGCCGAGGCAGACAGACAAGAGCTTCAGGATGAACTCAGGCAGGAGCGAGAAGCCAGGCAAAAGCTAGAGATGATGATAAAGGAACTGAAGCATCAGATCGTGAAATCTTCAAAGGCTGTTAAAGAGTAGAGACCAGCCAGGCGAACTCCCTTGCTCTCTCCCGATGGGGCTTTGTAGTTGAGCTGTGAGCCACTTGTCTGTGTGAAGAACGAGGCATTCTCTTGACTTGGAGTTCACAGAGAAAGCTAAGAGATGAGATATATATATATATATATATATATATATATATATATATATATATACACATACATATATTCAAATTTTTAGATTTTCCAAATGAATGAAAATCTGTTTCTTTGTACTAGTGTTTTTTAAAAATCTTAAACAACTAGTAACAATGAAACCATGTTTTAAAATAGGTGTCTGTCTCTGTTTCTAATGCAAACGACTGTTGTGTACCTTTCTAAAGCAGCATTGTATGACGAGGAATACCCTGTGGTCCATTTTATTGTTGCCCATGTTTCACACTTGCTTTTGGAAAAACTTTCTACGATATTTTTGGTGTCTTCAATACTTCAATATTAAATCAAGGGAAGCGTCCAAGTTCCATCTTTTCAGAGTGTTAAAATGAATGCCATTTTCTTGGTAAGTTGCTTGGTGGATTCATGGCTCCATAGAGAACATTACTCCTCTGATTCTCTCCTGACCGTGGAATAAATTTCCACCAACAATGGCTGGAGGGATTCATTATGATCTGCTGCTACAGAAGAGGAATGGCTGACATGTTGGGGGTTTGTTTTTCTTTTCCCTGTTTAAATGTGCTTGTGTGAGGCTATTTTTTTTCAGGCAGCAACAGGACATTGAACTAAAAGTAATAATGGGGACTTATTCTTTAGAATCCCTGAGCTTTTAATTATTTGTCCGAAGAGTGACATGAAAATATTAATTCTTGGGGATGGGGGAGGGAGGGAATCAGTTGTGTTATCATTAATGTAGATCAGCTGCTTTGGTATCGATTCACTTCTCTCCTGTACAGTTTTTATATGTAGGTAGGGGTCAGACTGATGTTTATATTGTGGGTTTGTTTTTCTTTGGGTTGTAAAATATGAAACACTTTGAAAGTCACTTAGAATTTTTGTATATTTAAATGTCAAGGTAAATCTTACCAAAATCTCTGCAAATGGACCACGTTCATTTAGCTCTTTAACGTTAAAATCAGGAATTTGCAGCCATTAGATACTAATACACCATAAATTAATGCATGGGAAAATCCAGATATCTGCTGATTTTCAGATAATTTTCGCAAGCAAGACAGGAATTCCATGTGGGGAAGTAAACTCTTGCACTTTTTTTTTTTTGCACAGATAGGTCTGTCATTCTTTAATGCCAGATTTCACGTTAATTATCCATTTATTTAAAAGAGCTAAAATAGTAGCATTCAAGTTTTTTCATGGCATACACTGAAGCCACCATTCATTGGAAATATTTTTCCATGCTTTCTAAGCTTTTGATAGTTTCTCATAAGGTACTGTTTGATAACTATTAGTTGAAATCACTTACAAATATAGATATATGGTTGGACTTTTTTTTTTTTTGTATACAGATTACCAAATCCTGCTTTCAGGATGGATGCAAGTTAGGCACTTTGTAGCGATGCAAAACATTTAAGCCGCTTGTTCGTTACTTTAAAGAATTAATTTTGTGATTCACTATAAATGATATTTATGTGCCCTAAAATAATTTGTACCCCCCCCAATGAACAATGAATCAATTTAAACAAATCAGATGTGGTTTTTGTGCATTCATTTGAGTTTTACTAAGTTAACATTCATAAACGTAGATAGAATTAGCCCTGTTTTAATTTAGAGAGAAAAGCACAGAGGTGTTTATGATCTTGTATTCTAGTTGTCGATTAATACTTGTAAATTACTGGATAGTCACATGGTTATTCTTTACCTCTTCAGCATATGGAGGAGACTTCGTTTTTCTCAAAGTCACTCCAAACATTTTTTTCTTACAGTTATTGTAAATGGTAGGCTCAGTCAACTGTCAACATAAAATCCAGTAAAAAGTTACTTAATCTTTGTAAATTTCTTTTACCTCCAAAATTTCCAACCCCTTCAAAATTCTCTTTTCATTTAACAGTGAGCAAAGAAATATTTATTTCAAGTCCTTCATATAATGAACAGTTCCCACATACTACACAGGCTTAATTTTATACAGATGATACAGTAATGTGTCATGTCTCAACCTGAATTCATTACAAAAAGTTTTTTTTAAATTAAATTGTAAATAGTATACATGTTTATATACTTTTACACTGAGCTCTTCCTCTGATTTCCAAGAGTTGAGATGACTAGTTTTATTATATACCCTATATAACTCAAATACATGTAGAAATTTTGAATAAACATTTATAGAAATCTATGACTTAAAAAACAAACCAAAAACCAAGAAATGCTACCAATGTGAGCTTGATCTCAACATGAACATTTTTCTTGTCAATTGTTGATAGAAAGTTTGGGCAATAGTTTGTGTGCCATTGTTTAGGCAGGCAGATATTTTCCCCAGCCTATTGTTTTAGAAAAAAATTTTTTAGAGCTGCATCAAAAACATCTAATGAGGAAAAAAAGGCTACTTTAGGGAACATTTTTTTGGGGGGGGCGGAGGGGAAGCAATAGCATATGACATTAATTTCTCTACTGGGCAATAATTTGATTAATTTGTTGAGAGGCTGTGTTTCTATGAGAAATTGATCAAATTTATGAAAGCAAGGTAGCAAATTCCTATGTCCTTGGAGGCTCTCAAACGTCTCGGATTCTTAAGCACAGCTGTGTATCATTCGAAAATTTTTTTGATAGAAATGTTATTAATGAATTCATGCTTTAATTTTTAAAAAGCATTCTCCTTAGCTTAAGTTCTGATGGAAATGACAATGTTTTTCCACTTCTTGAGCTAATGTATTTTATAACATATTTAATATATTAACAATCTAGATGTGTCAAATCATTTGTATATATTAGACGATCATAATGCAGTTGCTGAAGAAGGCAGTGTAGTGGAGGGATGGATAGCGCCATCTGCTGGCTAGCCACCCAGTTTAGAAGTCCTGATGAACAACAATTCTTGTGTAGGTACATCCTTGGCTTCAGCTTGGGAAGAATAGTGCTTATTATGACCCCTGAAAATAATAGGCAATTGTTCAGTACATTTTTCTAGAATTGCAAATCTGGTGCTGAAGTCATTTTTTGATCAGCTTTCTCAAATTCCCTTCTCACAGAGCTTGTTTTGATTCTTCATGAAAGATGCTGAGGGTTTTCCCTTTTCCCCACCCTTAAGCCATGTAATCCACATGACGGGACTTTTGAGCATGTTTTCGTTTTCCTAATGGACTACTATGCTTCTAGAGTACATCCCATACTGTGCTCAGACTGACAAGGTCTTCTCAACTGTTGTATTATAAACGTTGTGGGACTGAGTAAACTTTTAAAGGTTAAAAAAAAAAGTTTTCATTGTATTTGTAGTAAGAGACACACAAGCATCTCCATTATGAGAAGAAACATACATTTGAGTATTTTATATTTGGTACATTTACTTATTGCATCTAAATTAAAAAGAGTCAGCTTTTTTAGGGATTTGGGGTTTCGGGGAGGAGGATAAAAACTTCTCAAATTTGAAATAATGATACATTTTGTAATATGTTTCTTAAGTCATTTAGAACTGTTTAATACACAGGATTACTGAGTTAGAAAATGCTTCAATTTACAACACGGACAGATTTTTCCATTAAGTCCAAGAAGATAAAAATAACACACTGAAGGTTAGTTGTAGAAAAGAAATAGTTCAAATATTTTTCTTCAATATAGATACCTCACTTGAAAATAAGGAAAGCACAGTGTACTTAAAATAGTTCTAGTCAACATAAAAGTTCTGTCTAAAAGAATTTGTTACCATTGGGTTGCCTTTGGAGTTTTACAGTCTGTCAGTAGTATACATGCATATATGTATATATATTTACATATATATTATACACACATAACATATTTGTTTTAATCCGTGAAGTTAGAAGTATTTGTTTATCCACAAGTAATTTACACCAAGGTATTTCCAATAATCTCTGAAAACAACACGTGAAATACCTTTTCTGAAACTGTAGCAAAGGAGAGAAGGAAAACTTTGGAATTATGATCAGTGCATTCAGCAATTTATACTGACTTTGCCGATGACGTACAGTTTGAAGGTGAAAGTTGCTGTGGTTGCATTACGTGGCACAAGCTGTCCTCTACCTCACATGAAATTAAACAATATTTTATATGGTTTTAGTAAAACTGAGATACATCTATCTGGTCACCTCGTTTACAAATTTTGAATTCTATTTATTGAAACATGACATACTGTGCTCTTAGCTTATACCTCAATTGTGTTTTGTGCTTTTCCCCCCTTCCAATTTCATGTCTTGTAAATATCTTGTATAGATTGGATTCAGTTCCAAATAAAGAATTGTAATGATAAATTGAATCAAAAAGGTCATGTGTGTAAACATAACTTCCTTGTGCCTTTAAATTTACACTTAATCCATTTATACTTTAAAAAAATAAAAACTGACTTATTTAGCATTTCAATATCATAATTATGATAACAAAACTTTTAAGTGGCTTCTCGGGATATTTTATCTTCTCTTTTTTTGTCATTAAAATTTTGACCACAGGAGGTAAGAGTTTCTCCATTTACAGAAAACCCTGCCATCTATTCGTTTTTTTGGTCAGCAGACATTAAGTGCTTACCGTATTTGATGTTCTCGGTGAGGCACAGAGGAAGATGCACATAAATAGATAACTTGATCCCCAGTTTAAGCTAGGGCAGAGTGGGCCACTAGGTGACAAAGTTTGGAGATGGGGGAGGGAGGGTCCTGACAATACCTGCTCCTTAGATCTGTGGGAACAACTGAATTCAGCAAAACAAAAATAACAAACTGAAATTGAAAGCTAGAACTTCTCCTTGATCTGGTGTCTTTAGGATGACCTGGATCTCCATGGCTGTCCCTTTGCAGGTTGTGTCTCCTCATCCCCACTCAGCCCTCGAACTCAATTTGTCATAAGGAAGGCATCTTTCTTGCAGTTCACCCTAGTGAGCCAGCGCTATTCCTGGTCATTACTCTAAATAAGGCATGGTCCCTGCCCTAACAGTCTCTAATTATAGTCTTGGGAATAGGAAATGAGATGTGCATACAGACAAATATGATACAAATTAAAATGAAAATACATGAAAATGCTATGTAAGGGT